TACGTACGTACAACAGGCACTCCAGAATATAATATATGGGAAACCTTAAAATCTGATAAATGAAGCACGGCTGTAACTCAGACCACAGGAACAGCACGTCGCTGTAATCGGAAAACTCTGTACCACCCAGCACAACCTCCTCACGCCAATAACGCGTAAGCCATAAGCGACTGACACATTATTGCTTAGAATTCGCAACACAAAGATGTTGCTACTCAAACGTCCACACAACCTATCTATGTGGTGTTACACCCAGGAAATCCACTACTTGTTTTCTGTCTGAGTCCGCAGCAGCGTTTCGAAGCGTGAAAACAGCTTCCATACTTTTGCTTTTATTTAAATTTAATTTGTTACAGGCAAACCACTGTTCAGCCTCCGAACGCGCAATCTCAGATAAGGCAAAAGCATCCACCAAATTTGTACTTTTGCTAATAAGGTGCACTAGTGATAGCATTCGGCAAATCATTTACGTAAATAAGAAAAAGCACCGGTCCTAGTATCGATCCCTGAGGAACCCCTATAGAAATATTTTTGGGTTCTGAATAATATTCATTGCAATAAACTACTTGCTTTCTATTAGTGAGATAAGATTCTATTAATCTAGCACTACTTTTATCAAAATTATATTTGTCCAATTTGTTTAACAAATCATGGTTAACACAATCGAAGGCCTTGCTGAGATCACAAAAGGTTGTGGATGTAAATTCCCCATTTTCGAAGTCATCCACCACCTGGCGGACAAAATCCACAGTTGCATTCCTAGTACTGAGATTCTGTCGAAAACCACACTGACTAGGTGTGAATATGTTGTTTTTTTTAAAATGATTTATAATTCTATCCTTAATGACTCTTTCAAAAACTTTAGAAAATACCGGTAACAGCGAAATGGGACTATAGTTCTCTACTTCTTGAGGATCACCTTTTTTACAGACCGGAATGACCAATGCCAACTTCAAGACATTAGGAAAAACATTCTCCCTCATGCATAGATTAATTAATCTTGTCGTCAGCGGTACTGTTATTACATCTTTTATTAGCTTTATAATTTCCGCATTAAGACCATAAACATCCTTGGAAGGTTTATTCTTCAGAGAGCCAATAATATATACATCAACATGTTCTATACTGGAACAATGTTTAATGACTGGTATATAGCAGATCATCAAAATTAGTTGTTTGATTACGAATTGAAATTTCGCTAACGAGGTCTAAGGGGATGCTACAAAATATTCATTTACCGCATTTGGGTTAAACGAAGCCTTGATACTAGTTTTTTTTTATTAATCCGGAGATTATTAACAATCTGCTACATTGACCTATTTGAAAAACTATTTTGTTTTAAAAAGCTTTTATCTTTGCTTCCCTTATTTTTTCTTTATAATTCTTTTTTAGTGCAGCGAGCCCACCCTTCAGCACTCTGCAACCCGTATTTTTACAACTGTCGGTTAATAAATGCAAGCGATCTCTCATACTTTTCAGGTCATCAGTAAACCAGTTAGTACCTTTTTTCCACATGATTTTACAGTTTTTAAATGGAATGCATTGCAGAAACCGTGAAGGATGATCTTGAGAAACAACATCAAATTTCTGATTTGCATCTAAAATACTACATGATAAGAAATCCTAATTGATTTCGCATACATAACTGTAGAAGGATCACTTTTCTACACTCGTCAATGGTCTACATTTTGCCAAAGAATCTGTGTCCAAGAGACACTGCAGGGAAATGTTATAGTGATCCGAACATTTAAAGCCCACCTTCGCTGAGACACCATCGTATCCAAAGTTCACAAAAATATTGTCCAGGCAGTTTGCACCTCTAGTTGGTGTATCCACAAGCAGATGTATGAAACCAAAACTAAAGAAGTTATCAACCAACAGACTAGAATTCCTATCGTCAGTACCAAAGTGGACATTAAAGTCCCCTGCGATAATTATCCTTTGAGGTGATGTATTCAACAACTCAAATGCCTGCTCCACCTACTCCAAAAATAAGAGAAAACTATCATTTGGAGACCTGTACATTGTCAAAACAGTAACATTCATACGATGTTACTTCGACTTTTGATGATTCTAGTTGTAGGTCTTTTGTCAGTTCTAGTGATAGTGTTAGTGTATTGGGATTAGCCGCACGTCCCTTAAGATGGCTAAACCCAATTGATTCTACGTCTAGGTCTAGTGTTAGTTCAATAAAAATATGGAACATAGTGATATTTTATGCTAACTAGCGCTACCTACTATCTACCAGCCGTCTTAAGAGAGGTACAGCTAAACGGAATGATTCTAGTTCTAGGTCTAGTATTAGTCTAGTTTTATGTGTTAGTCTGCGCTAGATTATTGTATATTTTTATTGAGCTATAACGAACACTGCCTTCCCGGTATTAATCTGTTATATCGAGGTTTCAGTGTAATGTCAAATTATATTGACATGTTGCATTTTATGTGGGACAAAGTAAGTAACTACGCCCTTCTTTTTGTTATGTTTAAACAAATAAGTGATTAAATTTTGTAACTACAGTGGAACCTCACTTAACGAGTACCTCTCATATCGAATAAAATAAATTGTCTCGCTTAACGATCGATATTTCGCATAACGAGTAACACGCATAGGGGAATTCCCTTATTCTCGTCACTAGGTTGTGCGTTGTTTCGCTTAACGAGTATTTCGCATTACGAGTAAGATTCTGGAACGAATTATGCTCGTTATGCGAGGTTCCACTGTGCAGTTTACTTAAAATCTTCTCTGGTTTGAAAACTCCCGCCAAAAAATAACTTTGAAAAATTACACTGTGTAAACGTGACTTTTCATTTTACTCCTCGGAATTTAAAAATAGAGTATATAGACATTTATAAAAATGAATGAATTTCTTACTTGTGGATAAGATACGATAATTGGGAATGAATCATTTTCGCTATTCACACAAATAAATTGATTATCTGATACTAATAAAACAGATGCGTCGTATTTCTTATGAAAATAAGCAATTCTATAACAAAAAAAAAACTTATTAACGTAAAAAATTAATTCGAAATTATTTCGATTACTTTTGATAGCTATCATATTGCAATTTCGAACATAATTGCTTCATATCCGTCGGTGTAGTTTGTTGTGATAAAATATGATAAAAATATAAGCTAAATTTGCTTATAACAGCTCCCTTTAGTTTTGATAACCACTGGTAAAGAGTTGGCCATTGAATGTTTTTAATAAATCCTAATTTCCACGGCTGAAAAGTCCGCTTTATATCACAATAAAATCAAAAATTCCTTCCTTCTAATATGTACCTCTCTATTTTGTATTTTACTCTCCCATAAAGTTAATCCGGTGTGAGCTCCGTGGATTAAAACTAAACTCGGTAAAAATTGTAGCTTTTGTACTTCAACTAAGGCTTTAAATAAATTTGATAAAATATCACATTCCAATCCAAAAACTGCTTTTATAGACGTCATGCTTATATCAGAAAATAAAGGAATGTTTTGTTCGATTATTGTGGTTATATGGGTTACTAAATCCGCATAGTTGATTACTTTTTGATGACCGATTGTGTAAACATGTTCGTAACTACAAAAATTAATAATAAATTAAGAAAGTTTATAATTTTTTGAACCTACAAGTCAATTAATTGCAATCGTGCGCTTAAAAACTGCGCTATATTTTGGCAATAATTTAAAACACTTTTCTCTTGATTATGAACTTTACAAGAATCTTCCACTTTCTTAATCTCGCCTTTAACACTTTCATACAAACATTTTAGGGAATTCTAAAACAACAGAAATTAAGTTTAAACTTAAAACGTAATAAAAAAAGTTTACATCTTTCCATAAAAATCCTTTTATTTTACTTTGGAGAAATTCTAGTTCCATATAACTTTTCTCAGCCACGACGAGTTGAGATAATTGCATCATTAGCATATACCAAGGTCCAGATTTTTTTACATGTTTATATTTTTCCTAAAAAAAAATAATTTTTTAGGTTATGATTTAATTTAGATAACTTTTATTACTTACAACGTGATCTTTTGCTTTATCGTAATGATTTTGTGATATAAAATTAAAAAATGTGTGGAGATATGCTTCGTCTTGTTCCATTTCTTTAATATTTAATTATTTAATTTTAATAATTTTAATAACATAACCTAAAATTCTTTATTTTTAATTACTACCAAGAGATGGAGCCACATAACATCATTTTATTATCAAAAACTTCTTTACATTAAATAATAATAAATAAATAAACATTATTTATCATATTTTTCTTGGTTAGCTACCATTTCTTCAATAGTACCAATTAAATCCTTATTTTCATCATTAATCTTTTTAGCTTGCATGCACACCATAAAAAGGTAATATTAATGATTTTTTTTTAAATTGTAATTAATCAAAGCGAAATAAGCCCAAGTTTCTGAAAGACGATTATCACATAGATTAGATTAAATTTTTAAACGTACAAATCAATTAATTGTAATTGTGCGTTTAAAAATTGCGCTATATTTTGGCAATAATTTAAAACACTTTTCTCTTGATTATGAACTTTACAAGAATCTTCCACTTTCTTAATCTCGCCTTTAACACTTTCATACAAACATTTTAAAGAATTCTAAAACCACAGAAATTAAGTTTAAACTTAAAACGTAGTAAAAAAAGGTTACATCTTTTCATAAAAATCCTTTTATTTTACTTTGGAGAAATTCTAGTTCCATATAACTTTTTTCAGCAACGACGAGTTGAGATTATTGCATCATTAGCTTATACCAAGGTCCAGATTTTTTTACGTTTATAATTTTCCTAAAAAAAATTTTTTAGGTTATGATTTAATTAAGATAATTTTTATTACTTACAACGTGATTTTTTGCTTTATCATAATGATTTTATGATATAAAATTAAAAAAAGTGTGGAGATATGCTTCGTCTTGGTCCATTTCTTTAATGTTTAATTATTTAATTTTAATAATTTTAATAACATAACCTAAAATTCTTTATTTTTAATTAGTACCAAGAGATGGAGCCACATAACATCACTTTATTATCGAAAACTTCTTTACATAAAATAACAATAAATAAATAAACATTATTTATCTTGTTTTTCTTGGTTAGCTACCATTTCTTCAATAGTACCGATTAAATCCTTATTTTCAACATTAAACTTTTTAGCTTGCGCCATACAAAGGTAATATTGATGAGATTTTTTTAAATTGTAATTAATCAAAGCTAAATAAGCCCAAGTTTCTGAAAGGCGATTATCGCATAGATTCGATTGAATTAAACATTCTTCGGCGCTTAAAAGATCGTTTTGTTTAAAATAAAATCCACCCGCAAACAACCAACTTTGCGGTGTTGCACTAAACTTGCAAGCGTGTAAAGATAATTGTCGAGCTTTTTGGGAATCACCAATTACGTCGTTTGCCATGGCGCCGTTCATGAAAACAAGGTGAATATCTTCAGGTCTGTTAAACATTTCTAGAACGATGTCGAAATATTTGGCAGCTTCTTCAAATTGGTAGAGTTTTATGTTGCAGTGGCCAATTAATGCTGTAACACCATAATCCTAAATTTGTGAAGAATTATTATTTTTGTTAATGTTTTGAAAAAGTTGCTTACTAATCCTATTAATTTCTCAGCTGTCTCAAGAAATTCTAAAGCTTTTTCATAATCTTTTTGTAAATAAGCTATAACTCCATATAAATACTTGCAAAATCCTTTATGGGTGAATAACGCATAAGACAAAACTTTTTCAGCGTGTTGGTGTAATCTCATTTTTATTAATAACCCGGCAGTTTTTAGAAAAACGTTATCGTCAAGTTTTTCTTCAGACCAAGCTAAATCAGGTGTTTGGCTAAAATAATCCGTTGGATATTTAGTTTTTTGTGCAAGCCCCTTTTTGGCCATATCCCAACAATATTCGGCACCCTCCAAGTTTCCCGTTTGTTTATAAAAAGCGTAAGTAATGATCCAACCTTCAACCCACGTTGGATTTAAACACACCATTCTTAAAAAACACGTTTCACTTTCTAAAATCATCCCTTTATCGAACAACATTAATCCGTACATCATTAATCTTAAATTAATTAAAAATTAAAGTATTAATTTAAATTTTAATTAATAATTACCCAAATTTATGTTCGAAATCTAATTGAACCGTTTCCGTTACACATTCTTTCGCTTTATCAACATCATTTATTTCTAATTGAAAAACGGCGTAATCAAACCAAACGTTTGGATCATCTTCTCGACAACATATTCTCTAAAATGATATTAATAATTAAATGGATACATCATAAATTTATTTTACTTCTAAATAATATCTATCTGCTGTGTTTTGTTCGCCAAGTTCCATAGCTTCTCTAGCATATAATAATAACTTTTCATTTCGTGTTAAGTGTTTATGGTCATCGAAGCTCGCCCCGAAAAGTTGTTGTTCGTTAACAACCCGATTCATATCTCGAATCATATCAACATAAACATCAGAAACAAACTTTTGGTATTCATTAGAAGATTGGAAGATGTTCTTTTTGTATCCGTATTTTTGAGGAATCAATGTTGATAAACTTCGAAGAATTGAAGTTATGTAAACTTGATAAGCACCCGATTTTTGTATATAAGATTGAAAAGAATCTAAATCGCATTGACAATTTGTTTTATCTTCCAAATAACTTTTATATTGTGCGTTAATGTCTGTAAGTATGGAACGTATCGTTTCGCCGTGAATATCTTGGGCCACCTTAGATGAAATAAATTTTTTTGATAAACTAGGTTTAGGTGCAATGAATTTGCACATATCATCATCTAAATACTCTAAGTGTCGTATCGGTGATAACGGATTAAAAAGTTCTAATTCTAAAATTATGAAAGCTGGGTCTCCAGCATCGTTATAAATTTGTTTACTTGGTGGAGGAGGCGGTGGGGGTGGGGGAGGTAATGATTCCGCTAAATCTTTTCCTTCAACAGGTTCTGCTCCTTTTCCTTTTCCTTTTCCAGATTTACCACTTTTACTATCTTTACCTCCTTTACTACCTTTCCCTCCTTTACCACCTTTATCTCCCTTACCACCTTTACCACCTTTTTCAATAGATTCAACTGGTTTCGGTGGCGGTCTTGGTCTAAAATAAGAATCTTCCAAGCCGGTTTCTTCTAAAATCTCAACTTCCTGATAAGTTCTTAATGGACAAGCAACTCTACATTTTTTAACTCCTGGATAAAGAAGATAACCAGCATCTATATTAGCCATTACGTGCAAAAAATCAATTGTTGAATCATATTCTGTTGGAGGAGCTTCTGTTGATGTCCCACCAGTTTTTGAGGATGCTTTATCTTTTGTATCTTTCTTCTTTTTGGCATCTTTACCAGGTGGTTGATCTTCGACTTGTTGCTAAAAATTAAAATCTTTTTTTTATAAAGTATTAAGCAATATTGTTGCTGTTGAGTAAATCTGTATTTATCAATTAAAATGATGCGTGATATCTGTACAGAGTCAAAAATCCGTGGGCAAAATGGGCAAATTTTAGAAAAAAAGAGTAAAAGTTCAGGTCGTCCAAAGTTAGTTTCTGATAGAAATAAAAGAATATTTGTTAAAATCTGCAAAAAAGGACGAAGAAACATTTTAAGACAAGTTACCGCTGAATGGAATAATGAAACTGGATTAAATATATCAAATGGATTCTTAAAAGTGGATTAAAGGTTTTCTTACAAGCAATAATTAAAAAATGTCGCTTTTAGAAAATTGTTGTTTTATAAGCAAAAGAAAAACCACGGTTAACAGAAAAACAACAAAAAGCCAGGCTCACATGGGCAAAATCTAAACTGTCTTGGTCAGCAGAAGACTTTTCCAGGATAATATTCAGCGATGAATCGAAATTTGCAATAAACATGAGGCATTTCATAAAGATTGTTTAAAACGTTGTGTAAAATTTCCGAAAGGAGTAATCATTTGGGGCTATTTGACAGCTTCAGGATACTACAAATACTACAAAACAGCATACTACCAAGTATCGTGCAGTTAAATGTTGCCAAAAATTACATATTTCAGCAGAATGGAGCAGCTTGTCATACGGCCAAAACTACAAAAAAGTGGTTGGCGATCAAAATATTAATGTTCTGTATTGGCCTACCAACAGTCTTTTTAGGTCTGCAGTTTACTGTAATTTTAGGAAGATATGATTTTGCAAAATTAATGTTCGTGTAACTAGAAAAACCTTTTTTCCTTGGTTTAAACGTAAAGAAGAAGAACAATTTGAATCAGCAAAGTTTGAGTTATTTTAGATCGTTATAAATTTTTTTCTGATTACTAATATATAGGGTTTGTTCTGATTTCTTATTGTTTTAGAATAAAGCTAAAAATAAGCTTTTTTTGTGTCGTCAAAAAAATTAAATTTACAGTTTCCTGTAAATTATATCTAAAAATTAAAAAAAACATATTTCTGATATTTGAAACAACTACATTTGTTGAACTATTTAATTTATAATTGTTTTATACAAAAGTTGGAATAAATTGCATTATTTCACATTTTTTATTAATATTTAATATTATTATTAAATGATTTAATAAATTATTAATAGATGGCGATCATATATTTTAATTCAAATAAACATAGCAAATTAAACGTGTAAAATTAAAAATCTTATTTTTTAAGATGGATTACGAAAATTCTGAAAAGTTTAACATGTTAGAATGTTACAATGAAGTATATTTTATATAAATTTTCAGTAAAATAATTTTTAATTTTTACAGGAAACTGTAAATTTAATTTCTTTAACGACACTAAAAAAAAGTTTATTTTTAGCAATATTCTAAAACAATAAGAAATAGACCTATCTAACCCCATATTTTTGTAATCAAAAAAAAAATAACGAATTTAATAAGCGAATTTATTGGTTGTTTCCATTTAAAAAAACGAAAATTGTCATATCTCAAAATCCAAAACCGAAAAAATTTTTTTGTCTACGTCATCAAATTCTCTGTAAAAAAGTGTCCATATAATGTCTTAGTTATAATACTCCACCTATAATAATAACCAAGATAATTGCACTTGCTGGTTTTACGATATTTTCAATTTTGACCTGTAGGAGAAAAACAAAAGACGATAGCGGTTTGAGGTTTTCGGCATTAGCAGTTTCTCGAAAAACGAGATCATGACATGTAAGCTACTTTTTTTCTAACTCTTATAGTTTTCGAGATAGCCTATTCGGACATCGAATTTGAACCACCCTGTATATGTTGACAAGGCGTCGACGAACGCCTCAGAACACTTGGATTTATAACAAGAAATAGTTTGGAATTTGCTCATATAAACACAATAATAAATCTCTACTTTACACTCTTAAGAAGCAAACATTGTTTGGTCACCATCTTATTTAAAGTACATCACCACCATCGAGAGGGTACAATGTAAATTTGTTAGATTCATGCATTTCCTGGATTTTGGTCATTATCCGCCTCGAGGGGAATTGAACTATCCATATCTTTTACATCGTTATGGACTCCAGAGCTGTGAGGACAGAACGAAGTGTATGTCAGGAAGATTTGTTCGGGATGTATCATTTTTCGATGCTTAACTTAACAGTTTGATGAATTGTTGTTATTTGATTTTTCATTGAATGTGTTTTCTTTTTGTTTGTATACATTTTCTTATTGTTATGTCAATTAATGTACGTTCATATGCTTAATTATGTTATTATTATTATTGTGTGACTGAAATTTGAATTGAAAATAGAAAAACTATGGTCACAGCAATCAACTAGACATTTTGGCAGCCAAACCTATTTTTAGTTATAACTTCGTAATGCTGTGTCCCATAATTTTTATTTTCTAGAACAATAACTAGAACAACCCAGAACAACAAAGAAAAACTGATTTTTCCAAAAATAGGGGGCTAGCCAAGCCGAGTTTTTATTTTTTTATTTGCCGCTTTGGAACAATGTAGAACAACTCTAGAACAATCTAGAACAATGAAAAATTTTAAAATCAAAAAATTAGGAGCTAACTTCCTACACTATGGAGGAGATCCTGGAAAATGGAAGATGTAGGTTGTGTCGCCTAAACAGAAGTTATTATAAAGATTTTTTAAATCAGTTTTCAGTGTTGGAATTTTTAAAATAATGAAAGAGTAGTCAAATTTTCCGGAAGTATATGTATAAATAAAAAATAAAATAATTACTTGAACAGGAGTAATATAGATTTCAACAGGAATTTTTCTATATTTTCCGATTTGTCGATGAAAATTAGCCACTTGGGTTAATCCAAAAAATGACCTTTTAATAAAATTCCATTCAATTCTCGTTGTAGTACTAGAAATAAATGGTTCTATATCAATTTCTGTTGCATTTTTAACGTCTGCTACATCATCTGGAATTCTATAAACAATTACATAATTAAAATTAAAATTGCTTTTAAATGGGACAAACCGGTATGTACTTGGAATTGGTAATTGTTCTTCGGTAACTTTCGGCCATAATTTATATTTAAACTGTGTATTTTCGTTGGTAATTCTACCTTTATTGAATATGATTGGTTCTAATTTCTAAAATCGAATTAGTTATAATTATTTTTACTAATAAAAAAGAAATATTACTGGATGTTCTCCGGGAATTAAACAACATAATTCGTATTGGAAATCTGTCGCAACTAAACTTGGAATATTATAAGCGGATTCGACGGTTAAATGTAATATTGTGCTTGAATCTATGTTTAAAGGTTCCCCTTCTAAAGAGACATTAACTTTTACTTTAAGTAAATTCTCCAAAGATGTTGCGGTTTCATCGAAAACCGGTGGTGATTTTTCGATGCATAAAGCTTCGTCGAAAGTTGAATACCCTAAAAAGATTGGTAATAAATCTAATTTTGCGATTCCCAATAATTGGGGTCCGGTTGGTTTTATCGGTAATGTTACTTGAGAAGTTTCCGCAATTGAAGAAGCTGTTTTTAAAAATTTAATTATGAATCATCGTAATTATTTATATTTTTTTAATCATTACTTTTTTCAGATCCTTTTTTACTTTTTTTACCTTTACCTCCTTTTTCTTTTTGCCCTTTCTTTGGAGGTATCTCAGGTGGCGGTGGAGGTGGTTCTGGAACGGTTGGTTTGATTTCTGTGGCAGCTGGTGCTAAAATTTCTACTGCACTAGTATCAACAATACGTTCAGTTTCAGTTACAGATACTAAAAAATTAATATTGTTTAAAAAAAGTTTTTTTTATGCAATTTTCTTACTGGTTAAAGGGGCGGTTATTAATAAATCTCTATCTATAGGATTGGATAGGTCACATGGTATGTCAAAATCAAAATCGGTTTCTAATATATCAAAGCGAAGCACTTGGGTCTTTTCAGATTCAAAAATTGTTGCTCCTTTTAGTTCGAATTTTATTGTTAAATCTGATACGGGATACACCGTTTTCTAAAAATTTTTTTGTTAAATTTATTTTATCTTTAAGTGTTAATTAAAAATTACTATATTTTCATACGATAGAATTCGAATTTGAATTGTATTAGGTGGGGGATCTGGTTCTGGTGGTTCTTGTGGTTCTGGTTCTACTTGTATTTCAACTTTGGATGTAGTTTTTTTTTCTGATCCACCTTTAGCCATTTCTTTAAAATTAATTGACAGAAATTGTCAACAAAATTTTCATAGGTAACAAGATGGAGTATCAAAAAAAAATTGTTATCTAATTGTAGACTGAATGTAAAATCCGGGCTAAGTGCCAAATAATTCATTTTCGCGTTAGGTTGTGAAATACGTGCAATGTACCAAATGCAATTCCGTATAAAGTGGGCTATCATTAGTTTGTTGTGGAACTAGTTTTTAAAAAATCCGCTATGATGCGTGGTGTGCTATGAAGCACCAGCTGTTTGGTAAAAAACGGGCTATGTGTCTTGTTAGGCTACGGTTACAGTGCAAGCGAATTCGTGCGAACCATAGTTCGGGCGTGTACGTCCGAATTCGGGCGAACAAGAAGTGGTTTCTGGTTCAGGAGATATTTTAAGCGAAATTCAGAGCGATTTTAGTTTGCTGTACAGAACAGACGCGAGCGACCTATAAAAGTGTCATGGATTTTGAAGAAGAATTCTATTTAGCAGAAAGTACATTCCCGAAACTGCTATTATTTGGACCAAGAAAGAGACAATTCTGGGTTAATGAAATTTATTTAAATCACCACTTGAGTGAATATTTCAAAATTTTTGAAGAATTAAAAAATCAGCCATTAAAGTTTTATGAATATTATCGTATGACTTATGACACATACTTTTATATATTGAATGCGATAGAGGAAGATATAAGAAAACAATGTAATTTTAGAGAATGTATTTCTCCATCTGAAAAGTTAACAGTAACTTTAAGGTAAGTAAGCAAAATAAATCTAATTCTAATTGTAAGTTTATTTACATCTGGAAATTTGTGACATACGATGCTAGACTGTAACTTTGTTCTTCTGCTGCGATATCCAACTGGGAGTCTTGAACGTTGCTTCCTGCTGAATTCAAATGCTTGGGTATGTTATTAGATGGAGAGACAGGTGATGAGAGTGAAATATAAGAGTGACGTAAACTGGATTCTGATAACGAAGGAGAAGGTGTAGGTTGAGGAGTATAGGAAGTTTGAGTTGAGGGAGGTGCGGAAAACGTATGTGAAGAAAGTGTGTGCTGTACTGGTTGCGTGTAAGACATGACTTCATTGACAAGAACTTGTTGCAACTGCAACTGTACTAAAGGCTTTCTTTCAGGTTTCACCTTTTGCAAATGAGGCAGCAAACCCATTAAAAAGTAGTAGTCATAATTTTTTTCAATGGTTGTTTCAACTTTTCTTTGTTTAAAAAATTTAAGTTTTTCCTCTTCCACTTCTATCATTCTTTTCTGTATATCGCTCGAATGTTTCAGAGAACGCGTTGGGTGTTTTTTAGTTGATTCTGGCGTTCTAACTGTACATATTGATGGAGTTTCTTCCTCTACAGGTTGGTTCCTAACATCATCCTGATAATCATCACTGCAGGATTGCATTTGAGAGAGTTCTTCATATTGACTCTGTTCTTGTGATATTGTGCTTTCAACATTTTTATTACGCACTGGTGGAACATTACCTGCACTTTCTCTCGGTGTCATCTGATCTGCCAGAAAACACAAACTATCGTAGTAAGGCCAGGTAGAGCCAACCTGTTCTCCTCCTTCATCACCGGAGCATTTAATTTTCACTTTTTGGTATTCTCTCCGAAATGTATCTCTCAGTCCTTTCCATTTTGACTTTGCTGTTTCACCTGAAAATGACAAAAAGATCTATACTATTTATTTTAATGGTATTTTATATATTCATAAGAAATATTAGCGCCACATATTTTAGCTAAGGTTTTTCAATTTATTGCAGATTTCTCTCAACTGGACTTGGCTTTCGTTCCCTAGCCTATTCTTTTAGAATGTCTCACAGCACGATAAGAAAAGTCATATATGAAACATGTACGGCAATATGGAATAAATTAAACCTACAGCACTTGCCTCAACCAACAAAAGAATCGTTATTGAGAAGCTCTACATCGTTTTTTGATAAGTGGAATTTTCCAAACTGCATCGGTTGTATCGATGGAAAACATATTCGTATTAAATGTCCAAGCAAAACTGGCACAATGTTTTATAATTATAAACAATACTTTTCCATAGTACTACAGGCAGTAGCAGATGCAAATTATAAATTTGTGTGCATTGACGTGGGTGGATATGGGAAACAAAGCGATGGCGGAACTTTTGCTTCTTCAACTTTATCGCAGCAGTTAGAACATGGATCTTTACTACCAGAAAATAGAAAACTTCCAAATTCCGATGTGGTGCTTCCGCACGTTTTACTAGGTGACGATGCATATCCTTTAAAAAAGTATCTAATGAAACCCTATTCTAAACGAAATCTCTCACGGGAAGAAGAAATATTCAACTACAGACTGTCACGGTGTCGCAGAACAGTGGAATGCTCATTTGGAATTATGACAGCAAAATGGAGACTATTAAACAAACCTATAGAGTGTCATCCAGATAAGGTCGATTTAATAGTGAAATGCATTTGTTTATTACATAACATAATTATAGACAGGGAAGGTCTTAACCAACTCAATAGATTGCAAACTGAGCTGACACATTCCCAGAGTAAAAACAATTACAAAGCTCGTGCAAACAACAGGTCTACTAACGTGGCATACGATGTACGAGAAACTTTTAAACTATATTTTAATAGTGAAATTGGCGCCATACCACAACAATATACTATTTAAGACCGGAATTTAACATGTCAATTATATAAAAATACATTAGAAAACATTATATTAAACAGTGTGACTAGCTTAATAAATCGTAGTTTAATGTAAAATTAAAATCATACACTAATTGTTTTATATAAAAAAAATTTTACTTACTGCCTACATTTAATTCAGTTGCCACTTCTTCCCATAATTTTCGCGATTTGTCACGATTATGGTATCCTTTATATTTTTGGTCCCACAACACTCTTCTGTCGAACACCAGTAGGATTAATTTCTCATTATCCATGATATTCAAATATTATTTGAAATAATGCCAACTTGAATTTTAATATTAAAATGTGCAGTTCGCGCGAAAAAAACAAACCCATTTGAACTTCTAGCGACTAGTAGCGATTCGCACGATTAATTCGCTTGTAGTGTAACCATACACATTTCACTATATCGGTTTGTTTGTTCGCCCGAATTCGGACGTACACGCCCGAACTATGGTTCGCGCGAATTCGCTTGCACTGTAACCGTAGCCTTACTCTCTGAGTTGTTAGAGGTTATGTTTGGTGATCAGTGCTTGTGATTAGTGTTATTTTGTGGGTTTTATAAATATAAATATACAACTGATTTAACTAAAAAACGTAAGAAGAAAGGTGAAGAATCAAAGATCCTGTGGAAGATTACCTGAAAAATAACCACCAGGCAAAGAGGTAAGTTTGTTAGTTTGCACATATTTAGAAAGTTATCTAAAGCTAGGCCCTTTGTTTGATTTTCAGGTACAATGTCAATGCCGTTATAACTGCAAAAATATCGGGCATGATCAAAAACTCAGTCTGTTCAATAAGTTTTATCAACTGGGAGATAATGTTAAACAAAATTCCTACTTAATGGGGCTGATATCTGTTTTCGGTGTTAAGCGCAGGTGCCATGGTTCATATGTGGATCCCACAGCAAGTAGACGCCAGGCATCTGTCATTTTTACTATCCCAGATGGCAAAGGTGTTTGTAAGCAAGTTTGCAAGAAAACGTTTCTCGATGTTTTTGGTATTACAAAGCGTAGGTCGAAACTCTCGTTAAGGCGATAAAGCGTGGGGACGTTACTTACATTGAGCGGAGGGGAAACAAAATTAGAGAGAGAAAGTATTCAGCAGAAGATGAAAGGCTCATTATTGAGCACATTGCTGCTTTGCCCAAAGAAGAGAGCCATTATACTAGGGCTAAAAGTTCAAATTTGTATTTGAGCCCAGATTTAAATTACAACAAGCTGCATGCGTCTTTCGTGGAACGTAACCCGACGACTACAGTCAAGTACGGTTACTTCAAAAAAATAGTTCGACAAAAATTCCCAAAACTTAGGTTTCATCGCCCCAGACAAGATACATGTAATACATGTGACCTTCTTCACAGTAAAATAATGAATGACTCCGTAAACAGAGTAAAAAATCGCGCCTCGCTGGAATTGCATCATCGTAAAGCGGAAAGCGCACGCACAGCTATGAAAAATGACCATCAGGAGTCTCAAACTCCTACGAGTAATATGTGTACAATGGCAATAGACTTAGAAAAAGTTCTGTCGTTACCTGCGTTAACGCATTGTCAAATGTACTATTTGCGTCAACTTTCGTGCTACAACTTATGTATACACAAGGCTGATAATAATAAAGGCTTAATGTTTTTATGGCACGAGGGTATCAGTGGTCGTGGAGGAAATGAAATCGCAAGTTGCGTCCTCAAAGGTATAAAAAGTAATATTACTCACAAGAAACAGTTTGTAATTTGGAGTGACAACTGCTGCGGACAAAATAAAAATAAAATGATTGTGTTTTTATGGATTTATCTAGTATGTAATGGCTATGCTGACGAGATCCAGCATAAGTTTGTCGTGTCAGGCCACTCATATCTTAGTTGTGACCGTGATTTTGCAATCATAGAGAAAAAAAGAAAGAAAGCCAAGTGTGAAGTGCCAATGGACCTTTGCAGAGTTATTTGCAACGCATGTGATAAGAATTCGTTTGAAACAACCATGATGCAGGAAGAGGACTTTTTCAACTTTGCCAAGCTAGCCCAACTTTATCTTAACACTACGCAGTTAGAAATATCAAAAGTAGTTTGGATTAAAGTATCAAAAGACAACCCCGGCAGAGTATGTACAAAAAAAACCTTTAGTGATCTTGAACCATGGAAGATTACGAATGTGTTCAAAAAGAATATCACAAAGAACCATATTGTAGGTATGAATCTACCTCAGCTGGAGATGGCAACGCGACTGAACAATGAAAAGAAAGCAGATTTGAAGAAAATGATACCATACCTTAAAGAAGAAAATAAACAGTTTTATAGGGAGTTAACGGCATAAAAGACACTTCAAACAGTACAATTTTTAGTTGGTCTTACTTCGGTTATTTTTTATGTTTAAGTTTGTTTATATTTTTGATTTTTTCTACAGTATCTTGTTCTTAACTCTTACTGCATTAATTAAGATAACTTGTACGTATTACTTCAATATAATACTAAACTTATAAAACATTGATTTATTATTATTATTATCTAGCCTAAAAACTCTTATTTTCCTGTTCTTTGCTGTTCTGCACAAAATTGACCCGTAGACCCTTCCCCCATCCACCTACTCCAAAAATTTGACCCCCCTTCACCAAAACACCATTCAAACAATGAAATAAAGTGTTATATTCATACAGTTCAGTCACTTCAGTTATCATTATACCGAACTTTAAACTGGTATCTTAGCCCACTTTTTACCAAAAAAGTATTGGCACATAGCCCTTTTCATAATTTCTTAAATAAAAGTTTACATATAAAATAGGCATGTTGGTATTCTTAGTTCAAATTTCATAGGTATGTACAAAGTGAAGCCCTTTACTGATGACAGGTGAAGTTAAGTTAAATATTTAAGCAGAATATGTTCCTAGGAAGTTTTTATCATTTATCTCAAAACTTCATTTTTTGCACTTAGCCCGGATTTTACATTCGGGCTACAATTTATTTTCCATATAAAAAAAATACAAAAAGATTAAATCTAAATTCCATTACACCAATCAAAAGCATTTCTAAACATTCTCTCCCATGGACTTTTCTGATAAACTTTCCAATCTGGAGGCATGTACGGCCATTGATACATTTGAACGCATCTTTCAGGATGAGGCATCATCGCTAGATGACGCCCATCTTTAGAACAAACCCCAGCGAGTCCATTGATGCTCCCATTAGGATTCATTGGATACACTTCGGTCGGCATTCCATTATCATCGACATATCTCAACCCAACACAACCACTTTCTTCTAAATCCTTGTAAATTTTATCGTTTTTAAAAACGAATCTTCCTTCTCCGTGAGCAACCCAAACACCAAAAACGGAATCTTCCATGTTTCTCAACATGATTGATTTAGATTTTTCTATTTTAATAGTGGACCAGCGGCATTCGAATCTTTCTGATTTGTTGTGTTCCAACATAATATCCGGTTGGTCATTTACATTGGGCAAGTTTCCAACCCACCCGATTAAAGCCATTAATTGACAACCATTACAAATTCCTAAACTGAAAGTATCCGGTCTGGAAATGAATCGTTGGAATTGTTCTTGTAATTTTGGATTGAAAAGAATGCTTGAAGCCCAACCTTTAGCAGAACCAAGAACATCTACAAATTTAATTTTTTTATTTTAAAAATAGTAAAGTATTTAAATTAATTTATTACCAGCGTAGCTAAATCCTCCTGGAAAAATAACTCCCCTATAATCATCTAAAGTAGTACTTCCATTAATTAAATCTTGCATAGTAACATCCCAAACACTAAATCCAACCCTAACTAAAGCAGCGGCCATTTCTCTATCTCCATTAGTTCCTTCTTCCCTCAAAACGGCAACTTTAACAGGTGCTAATTTAATTCTACGGTCTTCATCGGGATCGAAACTTAAATAATATTTAGGTCCCGTTCGTTTATCTAAAGAGTTATATTCAGAATCAGCGCATTCTTTAATGGTTTGTCTCAATTCTAAGCGATAACTTGTTTCCTCCCACATCTTCATTAATGGTAAAACCGTGCTTTCAATGCACGCATTGTTTACGGTTATAGCTATTTTTGAATTTAATCCATATCCAATACTATTACCGATGTTGTACACTTCGACGTGGAATTTTTCGAAAACTTTCGTGCAATGTTTAAGATCTGATTCCATAATTTCTAAAATCCAACCGATTTCCTCAGAGAAAAGAACATCAACCGGTTGGCCAGATCTGTGGGTCATTTTTACGTCAATTCCACTTATTCCTCCGAAACACATTTCAAGTAAACACGTTATTAAACCGCCATCGCTTATATCGTGACCAGCCAATAAAGCGCCGTCTTTAATAAGTTGTTGAATCGCTTTAAACGCGTTAACAAAATCTTCATCGTCTTCAATATCGGGACATTCGTTCCCTATTTCATTAAAACATTGAGCTAAAGCTGATCCGCCCAATCGACTTTTTCCATTTGATAAATCAACGAATAACAAAACACCTTTCTTCCCCATTGAAGGTGCTTTTAAATCTGGCGTAACAACTTTTCTTACATCCGGGCATGGAGCGTACGTTGAAATAACTAAAGTTCCCGGAGATTTTACAGTTTTTCCACCTACTCTAGCTGCCATACTTAGAGAATCTTTTCCCCCATCAATAGCAATTCCGATATCTTTCATAATATTCGTCATAGCGACGCAAGCATCGTAAAGAGCTGCTCCTTCACCTGGAAGTTTTGCAGCCCACATCCAATTTCCTGAACATTTTACATCTCGTATATCTGAGATTCCAGCAAATACTAAATTAGTTAATGATTCAGCTACTGTCATTCTTGCACCGGCTGCGTTATCTACAAGTCCTTTTATTGGTTGTTCCCCAATTGATGAAGCAATCCCTTCCTATTAATTAATTGAGAAATTAATTATATTTCATGCAGAATGTAAAAGGAATGAGATGGATATAAAGGTGTAAGAAAGAAACGATTGGTACTGGTGATGTAAATGGATCGCAGAAGCAATGCAGATTGCTTGAAAACCTATTTTACTATAATTATTGCTGTTGCGTCGGAAGATAATGTTAGAAAAAGAAAAAAGAAGCAAAGAGTATGGTTAAAGAAAAGATCAGTTTTTAGCCACGCAAATCTTTTCAAAGAACTTAAGTTGAGTTCATCTTTGGTGAATTATTGGTCATGGTAACACGATTTGTCTCATTAGCCACGAAAAACTCGCACACAATAAGAAGTCAAACTTGAAGAGACACTTCACTATAAAACATACCCATTTTGCTGATAAATATCCAACCGGTGACGCACAAAAAAAAGGTGTTGAAGAGCTTCAAAAAAAACCAACAACAATCTTCCAATAATGTAAATCTGGCAAGCTTTGCAGTATCATTAGAAATTGCAAAAAGAAAAAACCATTCACATATGGTGACTATTTAAAGAACTGTGTCGTGATTTTAAAAGCAAAGCAGAAATTATGAAAAAAATTTGTCATTATCTGCTAAAACAGTACAAAATAGAACTGCTAAAATGTCTTCAAATATAACACATATGTAAGTAGAAGAGATTCAACTGGCTTCTGCCTTATCACTTGCTATAGATGAGTCTTGCGACATAAAAGACATGGCACAAGTTACCCTTTTCGTCAGGTATATGTCGTCCCAAGGTCCAAAAAAAGAAAAGATATAGCAAATTATGTACAAAAATGCCTGAAAGACAATGGAATCGATATAAATAAAATCGTTTCTATAACAACTGATGGAGCCAGAAGTATGATAGGAATACATCAATTCTCCAGAAAAAAATAAACCACGAAATTCTAACGTTTCACTGCATGATTCATCAAGAAGCACTTTGTGCACAAACATTTCTGGCCGAAATAATTGAGGTCATGAACTTGGTAATTAAGATTATTAACAGCATCTTATAATAATTGGACCGCGTTATGCATCACTTGACTAAGCGACAAATGAATATCATATCCATTTTATAAACAAGTTTCTTAATATTTCTTTTTGTTTTGTTAAAAACGATCACGTATCAAAGTCGAAATCAGATTATTAGTTACTAATTTACAAAATTAAAGTTTAAAAAGTTGTAAAATAAAATTAAGGACGAAGTGTTACAAGTTTACAGGTTAACATTTAAGAATGCTCTTTTTAAGAAACATGGGAAAAATTCAAGAATTATCATGTGGCTTAAAAATCGATGATATTTTTTAATCTATGTGAAATTACCCAAAAACACGTTAAAAATAAAAAGAAAGTGCGGAAAAGTGACTTTTATTATATGATAACTAACTTCAGGTTTAAAATGTCAACCTCAATTTTGATATATTCGTAATCTTCATTAAAAATCCTTTAAAATGAGTACAAACACGACATATTTATCTTCAATATTAATGAAGTTATGGTCAACTTCCGGTTAAGAATGTCAACGTCAATTTTGACATATTTGTATGATATACAGATGTTGCTTTGAGCTTTAATTTAGAATAAGTCTCATTCCTTAATTTCAATAAATACGGCTTCAACGAATTTTTAAATTAGAATTTTTTTTGATACTTTTAGGTTATACGAAAATGTTAGTTTTATTTCAACATTTTTTGTCTCAATATTTTTCCAGTCCAACCCAACAATTATTATTATTATACATCATTGTAAAGAGAAAGCTTTGAGCTTTAATTTAGAATAAGCCTCATTCCTTAATTTCAATAAATACGGCTTCCAGGAATTTTTAAATTAGCATCTTTTTTGATACTTTTAGGTTATACGAAAATGTAAGTTTTATTTCAACATTTTTTTTCTCAATATTTTTCCAGTCCAACCCAACAATTATTATACATCAATGTAAAGAGAAAGCTTTGAGCTTTAATTTAGAATAAGCCTCATTCCTTAATTTCAATAAATACGTCTTCCAGGAATTTTTAAATTAGTATCTTTTTTGACACTTTTAGGTTATATGAAAATGTAAGTTTTATTTCAACGTTTTTTTTCTCAATATTTTTCCAATCCAACCCAACAATTATTATACATCATTGTAAAGAGAAAGCTTTGAGCTTTAATTTAGAATAAGCCTCATTCCTTATTTTCAATAAATACGTCTTCCAGGAATTTTTAAATTAGCATCTTTTTTGACACTTTTAAGTTATATGAAAATGTAAGTTTTATTTCAACATTTTTTTTCTCAATATTTTTCCAATCCAACCCAACAATTATTATACATCATTTTAAAGAGAAAGCTTTGAGCTTTAATTTAGAATAAGTCTCATTCCTTAATTTCAATAAATACGGCTTCCAGGAATTTTTAAATTAGCATCTTTTTTGACACTTTTAGGTTATACGAAAATGTAAGCTTTGTTTCAACATTTCTTTTCTTAATATTTTTCTAATCCAACCCAACAATTATTATACATCATTGTAAAGAGAAAACTTTGAGCTTTAATTTAGAATAAGCCTCATTCCTTAATTTCAATAAATACGGCTTCCAGGAATATTTGAATTTGCATCTTTTTTGACACTTAAATTACGCGAAAATGTTAGTTTTTGCTCAATATGTTTTTTCTCAATATTCTATCAGATTTTTGTCGTTCTGTAAATACAGGTCTGATAAATAAATATTCAAATTTACTGCATCCACGAAAATGTCGTAGCGCAAATTCAAAAGAAAGACGAAGCTGTGAAAATTGTTCTACCAAAGCTTTTGTATACTGAAAATATATTTTAATGCTTGTTTAATGCTACTGAGTGTATTTTGATAGCGTTTTAATTCTGTCACAAAGTATTAGGATTAAGGATTAAGAATGTAAAGAGTTAAGGGAAAGCTTCATGTAATGAAGATGAGTTAATTATAAATATAGGTACAAATTTCTTACGTATCCAAAATGAGTTATTGAAGTAACAGCAACATTTGCTAACGGAGTATGTAATGGTCCAACGCATTGTTGTTGAGCAATTAATCCCGTAACGCATCGATCAACTTTATTTGTTAAATATCTTTTGCTTCCAACCGAGGGTAAACGTAAAACATGTTCGAGAGCTTTATAAATTGAGACTGTCGGTAACTGTAAAGGTTTGTTAATTTTTGGGAGACGATCACTCTTGAAAATTTTCCTAGGCATTTTACCTAAAACGTGTTCCAAATTTAAATTAACCGGAGTTTTAGTTGAAGTTTCATCTAAAGCTAAAACGATCATTCCGGTTCCGTTGACTTCCCCAACGAAATTAACCGGGCATCTTTCTCTTTCGCAGATTTTTTTTAAATACTCGACGTCTTCTTTTTTGCATAAAAGAGCGTTACTTTCTTGGTATTCGGCACCCCAAAGTTCGAGCGAGTTTATTGTTGGATCGCCCAAATCGAATTTGTTGGCGTAAATAATTCCTCCGGTTGGTTCGACGAGTTCTTTTAAAACATTTCCGTTCCCTCCAGCTCCTTGATCGTGAATACTCAAAATTGGGTTTCTTACCCCCGTTTCTAAACAAGCCCTCACAACACGATTTAATTTATTTTCCATTTCTGCATCGCCTCGTTGGACAGCGTTAAAATCTAACTCAGCTTTGTTGTCACCTTGGACTTCAACTGAACTTGCAGAACCACCACCGACTCCGATTCGATAAACGGGGCCTCCGATTTTTACGATTTGATGTCCTTTTGCAGGTTTGGTTTTTTCAACCATATCGGCTTCCATGAAACCAATTCCTCCGCTGAACATAATCGGTTTAATCCATTCTCTACGGTCATCATTAATTAACATTCCAAATGAACGAACGAATCCTGAAATGAGGGGTTCGCCGAATTTATTTCCATAATCAGAGGCTCCATTTGATGCTTCAATTAAAATTTTGGCTGGTAGTGCGAAATTGTTTGGATAATCAAATGAGGGGTTTTCCCAAGATAATGGGTAATCTAAACAAAAATGAATTAATTAATTTGATTTAAATTAATAATTATTATTACCAGGTAAATTTAAATTTCCAACTGAATATCCAGCAGTTCCAGCAATGCAATAACCTCCCCTTCCAACTGATTGCACATCGCGAATTCTTCCACCAGTTCCAGTTGTGGCACCACTAAATGGAGCTACACCCGTTGGAAAATTATGAGTTTCCGCTGTAAAAATTAAATGGGAATCTGAATTGACTTGTTTAAATTCGCTGACGCGGCATGGTTTAGCAGGCTTTAAACTTCTATGCAGATAACCTTTTATGGCACTAAAAAAATCAATGACGAAATTAAATCGATTAAAACAAGAGTTGTTTTTGAGTTATTACCTACTATTATCACTGAATTTAATGACGTTATTATAATTGGTGTGGTGTTGCGTATCAATAATCATATCAATTAGTGATTTCTCATATTCGACGCCATCGAGAATCATTTTCCCTTTAAAAAACCAATGTCGGCTATGTTCACTATTCGATTGGGCCAAATCGAAACATTCAACACTAGTTGGGTTACGTTTCATAACGTTCTTGAATAAATCGGTGTAATAATCCAAATCTGCATCATCAAAAGCCAACCCCAATTCGTCGTTGATTTCTTTTAAAGCATCTCGCCCCCTCTTCATAACATCCACATCGCGAAGATCATCTTTTTTACGCAAATTTTCGTTAAAGCTTGTTTTTGGAATGTTGTGTATAGTATATCGACACTCAGTCATTCGATCGTATAAAAAAGAAGCGATATCTTCCTCCTCTTTCGCATCAACTTTCTTATTTAACGTGATCAAGTATCTTCGCGAAACTTCCAAACGAACAACATTAATCATGTTTAAACTATGACAAATCGAAACTGCATTCGTTGAGTTTGAAGTTGAAAAATTAAATCTTGGGCCAGCTTCAATTAGAATTTGGTTGGGTTTTGGTGAAAGAATCGTTTCTTCTGTTAGTAAATTTGGTTCGAACGGACATTTTAGGAGCCACTTCATCGTTTTTAGTTGATCTGGTGTTAAGTTGTTGGTTGTTTCGATGTGGTAACATAATTCTGTCTCGATTGCGATGATTTTTGGGTTTTTTGATTTTAAATTTTCTAAGATTTCCTTGGTTTTAGCCGCGGTAAAAGCTGGAGTTCGATATAGCCTCGTGATTGAGCTCATTTTTCACCTAGAAATCACAACACTAAATTCGATACTGAATTAAAAGAGTAACTGCACGCGAATGAATATCTTGAACGGTTTTAACGCACGATTTAGAGGTCAAATTAATGTAATATGGGTTATCGTTTCGTAAACATATTAGATTAATTGTTTCACAACGTGATTTTATTTTTTTGGTGCAAGAAAATACATTGATTTTATTTTATTTTTTATGGTTTAGTTGAAATCTTCCATTCATTTTCTGTTTTTATGTCTATTTAATGAGCAAACTTAAAAAGTAATTATAATAACTAAAATTCTTTTTGGTGTGAAGGAAACGATAAGAAGTAAGTAAGTAAATAAGGTCATAAGTTCAATCTTTCTTGCGTCGTTGAAGCTTCCGCCTTGAAAAATGGAAATAGAAATTTCAAAGTGCCCTCAAGATTTGCAACATAATTTCGAAGTGATTTTTAATCGAGGAAGTTTGGTGTTTTTGAAGGAATTAGAAAATGAATTCAGAGATAAAATCAATAAGGTAAACAAATTTTACTCCCTCTGTCCCAAATTATGGTATACATTTCTCTAAAATTTATGGATTAAGGAAAGTTTGGAGAAAAATGTTTTAAATAAAAGATTCTTTATTAATTGTTATTTATTATACATTTCAATTTTCGCCGATTAAGTTTAAAAATTCGTATAAAATCCAGTTCTTGGAATATGAGTATGAAAATTTCCCAAAGTGTTAATAAAAGTGCCATCTTTCCAATGAACCAACCCGTTTTGAAAAATAACTTTTACTTTTTGAGAAAACAATATTTGAAGTTTTGATAAAATTTTCGATGTTGCAATTTTCATCGATAACTTTCAAAATTCGTTATAAAATTAATATCTAGAAGGATCCTTGTGGAAATATCACCAATTATTAATTAAAGTATCCTCTTTTTAATGCTAAAAGCCGTTTTGAAAAATCACTTTTAGTTCTTGAGAAATAAATTTTTGAAATAATCGACAATTTTTTCGAATTTTGCAATTTTCGCCGAATATGTTTTAAAAATTCGCATAAAATCGATTTCTTGGAATATAAGTATCAAAATTTCCCAAAATGTTAATAAAAGTGTCCTCTTTCCAATGAACTAACCCGTTTTGAAAAATAACTTTTAGTTTTTGAGAAAATAATATTTGAAGTTTTGATGAAGTTATTGGCTATATTCCAGATATTTGACACACCCTGTATAATCTACATGGTGTTTCTAATATAGTATTAGCCGGCTATGTTTAAAAACAGTTCAGCTGTTGACACATGCGTCAGTTGAGAACTATGGGAGATATTTCTCACGAAATGTACAAAAGAGACATAAAGAGGAAGCAACTAACGTATGAACAGCAGTACTAGAATTTTACAGTTCTTGTTACAACACGAATCCGACAGCAAATTGAAGTGAGGTGTTATTGGTCAAGCTGCAAGAAAGTTTGATGTTTCCCGACTAATTCTTAAGCGTATTTGGAATAGGGCGAAGGAAATATTTGTGTCAACGTGGCTTCTAGAAAAAGGTATTGTGGCCGAAAAGAATTACTCGGAGAATTTGGATAAAATCAAAGAAACTCCACTTAATCTCTGTGGCAGAATTCGGAGTTTACAATTGAAATTCCAAAATCCACCGTTTTTCGCATTTTCAAAGAGGGGCGATACTTTAAAAGAACGTATATTCTTTTATTGTGGTCGGTCCAAGATTAGAATTCAGAAAAGAACGAGACTAGAGTTCTGGACAAAGCAGAACCAAAAAGGCACTGTAAAAGCAAATGGTTCATAACAAATGTTATGTTTATGGCTGCAGTGGCCAGACCACGCTATGACAGTGCCCGAAAATATAGCATTAAAAACTCTGGCCAAAAAAAAACAGCAAGAGGAGCAATGGTGAGCAAAAACATCGAGTCTATTAACGAAGCAGAATGCAAAAAGATGATTATCGATAACGTTTTAGCAGCTATTAGATCCAAATTTCCAAAAGTGCATAAAGCCAAGATAATTTATGTTGAACAAGATAATGCAAAATCGCATTCTTATGAAAACGATGCAGAATTGCTTGCCAAAGGATCAAGAAATGGATGGCCACCGAATAGACCTCATTTGAATGTTTTAGACCTTGGCTTCTTCAATGCCATTCAGTCTTTGCAGCACCAAACATTGCCAAAAACTATGGATTAACTTAAACGACGTATTATTTGTTTCTATTATGTGCAACCAAATGAACCCAACCATTGAAACAGCTGAATTGTATTTAATTGTGTAAAATTTTCATTAATGTATGTTTAAAATAAGTAGCATCATTTGGGACAAATTGTAAAGAGAAATGTATACCATAATTTAATTTGGGACAAAGGGAGTAGTTTTATTACAACAAATAAGATTTAAAATTGCAGCTTTATAAAGATCGATTAAATCGCAACTCTTATTACCAATCCAACAATACCCTCCCCAACTTTAAAAATAACCCACTCAAAACACCATGGAAAATTTCAAACATCCCCCAACGACTTCAAAACAGAAAAATCGATTTGGGCGACGTCTCACCTTCGAATTCAACTCAATTTTTCACCTCTCTAACTCAAAATGTACAAGGAATTCAAGTTGATTTCGACGATGGTCACTGTCCAAATTGGAGAAATCAAATTTTGGGCCACTACAACATATACTCAGTGATTCACTCAAACAATCTCGCCCACTATCCTGTGATGATGTTAAGACCGCGAGCTTGGAACATATTAGAACACAACGTAAAAATTAACCAAAAAAAAATCCCCGGTGCTTTAATCGATTTTGCTTTATTAATGTACCATAACGCAAAAATTTTACTCGAAACCAACTCCGGGCCATATTTTTATCTATCAAAATTAGAAAGTGCTTCGGAAGCGAGACTTTGGAACGAAATTTTTGTTTGGACCCAACGGAAATTGAATCTCCCTCAAGGAAGTATTAAGTGTTGCGTTTTGATCGAGAATATTTTGGCAAGTTTTGAAATGGAGGAGATTTTGTTTGAATTGAAAGAACATTGTGTTGGGTTAAATTGTGGGATGTGGGATTATATCGCTTCGATTATTGCTAAATTTGGGAATCGGAAAGAATTCGTTTTGGCGGATCGGCAAAAACTTTCCATGAAAAATGAGTTTTTAAAAACATATATGGATCTTCTTGTCGAAGTGTGTCATAAAAGAGGTGCTTTAGCCACCGGGGGGATGATAGCTAAAATTTTATCTTACGAGTAATAATCAGAAGTATATCTCAATTTATTTAATTTAAAGTTTTAACTTTTAGCTTAAACTCTTTAGAATCAATTAAAGAAATGAAGCAATTTGAAATTTCCTCAGGAATCGATGGATTTTTAGTTTACGATTTAGATTTGTTACCGCATATAAACAAGGTTTATTTCATGCTTATTTTTTAATAGCTTAAAATTAACTTAAAAATTTTTTGCAGCTTTGGGAGGATAACAAAAATCTTTTACACCCTAAAAAAATAATAAAAAAGGATTCTAACACCGCGAAATCCTTATTAACTTTACCAGAAGGAAAAGTAACATGGGACAGTTTTTGGCACAACATTCAAGTTACTGTTTTATTTATTTATAATTGGTTGGATGGCAATGGTCATTTTGTTCTTAATGGTTTTGTGGAAGATTCGGCAACAGCGGAAATATCAAGATCACAAATTTGGCAATGGATTAAACATAAAGTAATTAAACACTAATCAAAATTAATACCATAACTAACTGAAAACTGGGACTAAAACTGGCAAAAAGCTAAATACTGGTTGAAGAAGGCTATATAGTATTTGCAGAAGACTTGATACTGATAGCAGAAGATTTGGTATTGCTAGCATAAGATTAGGTACTGGTGGCAAAACACTAAAAGTGGTTTCATACTGCTAATAAAAGCCTAGATAGTACTTCCAGAAAACGATTACTACTTACAGAGGAATAGTAGTGATGGCAGAAAACTAAGTGCTGTTACTAGAAGCCTAGATATTACCTCCAAAAAGAGATTACTGCTTAAAAAAGAATAAATAGTGGTAGCAGAAGACTGTATACTGATTGCAGAAGATCAGTACTGCTAACAGAAGCCTAGATATTACCTCCAAAAAGCGATTACTGCTTAAAAAAGAATAAGTAGTGGTAGCAGAAGACTATATACTGTTTGCAGAAGATCAGTACTGCTAATAGAAGCCTAAATATTACCTTCAAAAAGCGATGACTGCTTAAAAAAGAATAAATAGTGCTAGCAGAAAACTGTATACTGTTTGCAGAAGACCAGTACTGCTAATAGAAGTCTAAATATCTTCCAAAATACAATTGCTGCTTGTATGAGAATAAATAGCGATGACAGAAGACTAAAAATGTTCTCAGAGGACATCTTGAAATCCTCAAAGACCCATGTCTAAATCGACAGGATCTTGTTCATCGGCAGGAATCCGACATCTTCATTATAATACATGGAATATTCACTGCGAAGTGTTGTATAAACATTTTGAAAAAAAATGGAGCAATGTGCAGAAAAATTGGGATGTTTACAAGCATTCAGAGCATCCCAAAACACCATCACATAGCTTAGATCTTAATCCTATTGTCAATATTTTAGAAGAAATTGCAACATTACGATATTAGAAACGTAATCGACTTAAAAATAGCATTGAAGACTGAATGGACTAAAATACCACCTCAATTATAAATGTTATAAAGCAAACAAGCATTCATCAAAGTATTATTGTTGTTCCAAATATATAATTTTCTTAGTTATTTTCCAGAAGATAATTACTGCTTGCATAAGAATAAGTACTGGTGGCAAAACACTAAAAATGGTTTCATACTGGTAATAAAAGTCTAGATATTACTTCCAGAAAACGATTATTGGTTACAGAGGGATAAGTACTGGTGGCAGAAGACTAAATACTGGCAATTGAAGCCTAGATATTACCTCCAAAAAGCGATTACTGCTTAAAAAAGAATAAGTAGTGGTAGTAGAAAACTATATACTGTATCCAGAAGACCAGATACTGCTAATACAAGCCTAAATATCTTCCAGAAGAGAATTGCTGCTTGTATGAGAATAAGTAATGATGGCAGAAGACTAAAAATGTCGGAGAGTATGGTAACTCCGTCGCAAAACAAAACCAAATAGGTTTTATGCCTCAGCAAAGGGGATCTAAGATCGCTCTCAGGCTTCCTAACCAGCCATACGTTCCTAAAATACCCTCTCTTTCACATTGGACAAGCTGAGGATCAAAGTTGTCGACTTTGTAACGACGAGTCAGAAACTGCTGAACATATACTTTGTGAATGCATCGCCAGAAGCCGCCTAAGGAACAAAATTTTCGGTAAAGTACGCCTAATACCTACCTACATAAAGGAATAAGACCTTAGAGCAATACTAAGGTTCATCAAGAACCTACAATAGATCTTACAGGTCGCGGAGGTGAAGTATTATTGTTATGCCAAAAGTATAATTTTCTTAGTTATTTTCCAGGAGACAGTTACTGCTTGCATAAGAATAAGTACTGGTGGCAAAACACTGAAAGTGGTTTCATACTGCTAATAAAAGTCTAGATATTACTTCCAGAAAACGATTATTGCTTACAAAGGGATAAGTACTGGTGGCAGAAGACTAAATACTGGCAATTGAAGCCTAGATATTACCTCCAAAAAGCGATTACTGCTTAAAAAAGAACAAGAAGTGATAGCAGAAGACCAATACTGCTGATAGAAGCCTAAATATCTTCCAGAAGACAATTGCTGCTTGTATGAGAATATGTAATGATGGCAGAAGATTAAAAATGTCCTCAGAGGACATCTCGAAATCCTCGTGGACTCATATCTAAACTACTTGATTGAAATTAAAACGGATATTATACATTATACCGATAGTATATAATTTCGACCAGTCATATAAGGTAATATTTTGAAGCCCTTGCCTGGTACACCGATGCTTTAAAGACAGTTGGATCCGGAGTAGATATGGGCATTAGTGGACCATATAGCCGCATTAAATTGCCCCCAGACATAACCATTTTTTTCAGACATAACCCCAGACAGCTCAGACATAACCATTTTTCAAGCACAATTTCTTGCTATACAGTTTTGCACCGTTTTGCACTTAGAAAAGGGACAAGAAGGTGCATCTACATACAAACATTTTCACAGACAGCCGGGCCGCCTTAAAGGCAATTCAGGCCTACATGTGTGACTCTGCACTGATCAGAGATTGTACCAGTAATCTGAGAGAACTCGCTGGGGGCAATGATGTTACTCTATGGTGGGTTCCAGGTCACAGAGACATTGAGGGCAATGAAAAGGCAAACAAGATGGCCAAAGAGGCAGCGAAAACGCTTTTTATTGGACCCCAACCCGGTTCAAGGTCATAGACAAGCAAAGAATATGATAACTCCATCGCAAAACAAAACCAAAGCGGTTTTATGCCTTAGCAAAGGGGAGCTAAGATCGCTCTCAAGCTCTCCTGACCGGCCATGCGTCCCTAAAATACCATATCTTCCACATTGGACAAGCTGAGGATCAAACTTGTCGACTTTGTAACGACGAGTCAGAAACTGCTGAATATATACTTTGTGAATGCGTCGCCAGAAGCCGCCTAAGCAACAAAATTTTCTGTAAAGTACGCCTAACGCCTACCGACGTGAAGGAACAAGATTCTAAGGTTCATCAAGGACCTACATTTGCTCTAAACTTTTAGAAGGATTAAGTTACAATAATAAACTAAAAGTGATGTCAGAAGATTAAATACTGTTAATAGAAGCCTAGATATTACCTCCAGGAAACAAATACTGCTTAAAAAAGAATCAGTACTGGTGGCAGAAGACTAAATACTGTTTGCAGAAGACTAAAAACTGCTAATACACGTCTAGACATTGTTTGCAGAAAATTATCTGCTGCTAATCGCTTCTCATAAATATATACATGTCTTTCAAGAGAAGTATTTTACTGCCAGTGTCTCAAATCCCTTTAACATCTCTTTTAATTACATTCTACCCATATTTACCAAAAAACAATACCAATAATAGAAATTTTAATAAAATCTAATTCCCTTAACTTTATTTAATAAATATTTTTTAACTTTTAGGTTGAGATTGATGAAACAGTTATTTCTCAACAACTTCTAAAAGAAAAATTAACAGAATACAAACGAAAAAATTCAAATTTAGATCAAAAAAACTTAAAAATAGCATTAAAAGTAGCAATGGAATTGTTTATATCGCCGATTTATCCGGATTTTATAACAACCTACCTCAACAACCACCCAAAACTTCAAATGGAATACAAACCAATAACAACGAAATTATAAAAGTTTGCGTATTAAATTTTATTTTTAATGGGAATATAAATAAACGTATAATATAAATTTAAACTACAATTTTATAATTAAATAACAATAAAAATATGATAAATGCGGATTGTAATCTTAATTTTATTTATTCATAATAAAAAAAAACCTTATTGATAATAAGCTGGTTGTCTTTAAAAGTTGCTAGGAATTATCCTTTTGTTGATTTAAAAAATGTTTTTAATTTTATGATAAAGAGCATCGATCTCTTGTTGAATTTCTTACACCACCTACTTGAGTTTCTGATTCAGATGCTTGTAATTGTCTTGCCAATGCTAAATCAATTTCTTCTTGTGTCATTCTTGGATTATTTGAGTCTTCCAAAGAAAGTGCTAAAGCTCTCGCTAAGGCTTCATCTTCTGTCTAAAAATAAATAATTTAAAAGGAAATTTATTTTAAATTTAGTTTTAAATTTACCATTGTTCCATGTACAGCTTTTGTAATTGACATTGTATTAGTTTGGATGTGATTTTTTTGTCTATGAATATTTTGTCTTGTAACAGCAGCATTTCTATAACAAAAAATTATTTAATATTAAACAAAATTATTATTAATTATTTACCCTGCCATAGTTTTAATGGTAGATTTTCCTTTGCAATCGTGGTCTATGGGATGTCGATGTTTTAAGCAATAATTCATTTTGCAATCTTCACAAATCACACGAATAACTTCTTTCACTTTACAACCTTTTCTTGTGCATTTATTTGTGAAAACTTTTCTTCTATTTTTAGCAGGATCAGATTGACAGTCACTGTCTATGTGTGCACTAACTGCAACATCTGGTAATTTACCACCTACAGGTATTGGAATGTTGCACAATGGGCAAACAGGCACTTGGTTGTTCTTTTTGTAAGATTCTGGGCAGTTATGTGTTAAGTAGTTATAATGTTCATTGCTAAAAAAGAATATGGTGAATAGTTAAATTATTAAGTTAATAAAAAGGGGATTTTACCAAAATATTTGTCCGCAAGCGTCACATTTTATAGGCAGGAAATCTGAAATAACAAAGAGATGATAAAATTTTTTTTTATGAGGATTTTGATGGTATTTACCTAATTTATTGCAGGATTTGTTCGAACAGTGGTTACCTAAACTCGGGAGCTCCATGGTAACGAATGGTAACTTTCTAATATGATGGATGTTTATAAATAAAGTCAAAAATTCTAGAAAACACTCAGAACTGACGTAACATAACCACAAAAACACTACGCACCATGACGTTTTAATTTAACACTGATTTTTGACAGCTAGGGCAACCAACTTAAATTATCGAAATTTAAGAATTATAGAAACGATATTAAATCGTATTTTTAATTTTTAGGACTTTTCTATTTGATTTGATTACAACGTATCATTAAAAAAATTAATGAATTTATCTTAGTTAAATAAGATTTAAACAAAAATATTTAAACAAAAACAAGTTGGCTACACTGCCGATATCTGCATGTTTTGACAACACAATTTTTGACACCAACTTGTGTGTTCTTTCGCGATAACTTATCAATTTAACATCATCAGAGGTCCAAATATACCATTGTTTTAAATGGAATTAATAAAAATACCAAAGGTAAGATTTTAATGATAATCCTAAATATTTTTCGTTAAAATTTTTTTCATATGGGGCGTATAGGTTCATGTGCTATTATTTAATAATAAATATTGTTGTTTTGAAGGTAAATGGAAATATAAACGATTTATATTGTAAAATGGAATAGAGGTACGCGATTTATTAACAATTGACAGCAAAAACCGTATTCGAAGAGGTCTCAAAATTGTATTTTTATATAGATATCTGCTGTTATACAAGATTTTTAATCATACAGCACTAGTTTTTTCAAAAAACTTCTAATTCAGTAGATAAAAATTGCTGAACTTTCAAATGAACAAAGAAAAATAATAATAAAATTTCATATAAAACGAAAATCTTTGCTTGAAAACATAAAAATAATGACCTCTCCTATACAATATGTGGTGTGGAATTATAAAAAGATATGTGAACTTAACAAAGCACTACAAAATATAAATCAATCAAAGCTAACAAGAAGAAACCATTCCTATGTCATCAAATCCCTAAAGATCCTACCATAAGTGGCTACAAAAGTCTAATTATCATTAAAAACTTGGTTTTAAAAGTTGATATGCTGTTAGAATCATTCATAAGTATGATTAATAAATAAAAACAGTTTGCATTTGCAAAAAATGCTAAAATAAAGATTTTAAACATCATCACAAAGCCCAGATTTTAATATTGTCATTATTTAAGAAGAAATTGATTTATTACAACTTAATTGACTGTTAGAATGGACTAAAACCACCTCAATAACCACTAAACTAACAGAATCCATGCAGAGGTGTCTAAATGCTGTTGTTAAGCAAACAGGCACCCAGCCTTTTTTAGTGTTATTCCAAATGTATAATTTTTTTTAATTATTATTAAAGTTTGTACTGTTCGAATACAGTTTTTGCTGTCAACTGTGATTAAAATGCCAAAGCAACATATCTAGTTTTGCTTTTACTCTTCTTGTGAAATAAATTATCTAAAATATTTCAAATTTCTACTACCTATAAATAAATAATGTTAGAAATGAATTTTAAAAATTGAGCATAAAAATTTCGAGGTCAAATTTTTGCACGATTATAATATTTTCTCTTTATATACTTCGTGTATGTGAGGGAGAAAAAGTGAATATATAGGGATGAGGGTGGTTTGACGCAAACTCAGCGATCAGCTGATTCACTGCAAACTGGGTTTGGAATACAGAATATCGGTGCCAGTTGCATAAGAACCTAAGTAGTCAATTCCACAATAACCTCTGCATCGTTTTCTCGGAATTTATTAAAAAAATTAAATTAAACTTCCACAATTTTTCTGTCAAATTAATTGTAATAAAGTGATATGGTAAAAAATAAATTATTAGTGTAAATAAAATTTTAAAAGAGTAAGTCATGGATGATTCTGACGATGGAAACGATTTTCAAAGTTTACCGTCGTCCACTTCAATGTACGACAAAATAAAATCGTGGTTGTTGAACGTAAATGAAGAGTTAGAGCCGGAGTTAATCCACGGAGACGCTGTGACATTGAAGGTAACCGTCGGACGTCCTTGCGGATATTGATCTTTGTTAATGTGGGTCTTGTTTTTTACCCCAAGCGATAACCGTTCCGGAAATTTTCTAATCATATCATTAAATTGATAATATACAAATTTTTAATCGATAAAAAATTTATTATCTTTAGTTAATAATTGTCTATAAATATTATTTATAAGTTTTAAAAAGGCGTTAATCTTTAGTTTGGGGTAGTCAAACCCCTAAACTTTCCATCTTCTAAACCAACGACGTTGGATGAACGCAGAAATATAGCACAAAAAAAAATAGATCAAAATGTCATCACATTATGTTCAAATATTTCAAATCAAGAATTCAATTCATAAGAGACACTGAAAGATTAACGAGGTTGGAAATAATTTTGAACATAACGAACCATTAAATTTCAGAAAAAAACTACTGATTTAATTTTCCTGGATTTGATTCTGATCTTCCCTATAATTTATAAGTTTTCTGGAAATAAATTGAGTTGTTTTCGTAGGGCCCGGTGTGTTAAATGAAATAGTCATCTTGTTGGGATTGGGTTTATCCAATTTGTGCACCCTCGACTCAGATACATTAGTAGACATAGTAAGACCATAGAGTTTATCTGTCATCTACTCCGCCTAAACTTGATCCTCAACCTCAAGTTATGTAATAAATAAGCCATAGCGATAGTTGTCGCTTATGCATCATTATTTGTCATTCTATGTGGAATAACTGATAATTGCGAGGTCCTCTTACTGTGGCAGTTACGTGATGTTAGGGACAGAAGTCTTAGTCTTATGGAAGACGCAATCATTTTCGAAAAGAATGATGCTATGGTCTCACTCGTAAGCGACTTCGGCGAAGTGAAAATAAATTAAAGTGTTATGCTCTTGGTTGCTTTCCAAGACATCAAAAAACTTGCATCGTCCCAGGAAATATTTTTTTCAGCGAAAATCTCTGCTATGCTGTCGTTCCATAGTCTTCTAGGTCTTCCTCTGCGGTTCTTACCCTGCGGTCCGGTTTGCCAAACCACTTTTGTGGATTTTAATGGTCCCATTTTGTTTAAGTGCCCGAACCATCGTAACTGGTTTTGTGTTATAATGTCTGTTATAGGCTGTACGTTCAAGTTGGCTCTAATAATGGAGTTCCGTATTCTTTTGACTTTTACAACGCTTCTTAAGTACTTCATCTGAACTGCTTCGATTCTGTGTTTTTGGGATTCAGAGAGTATCCAATTTTCGCTACCATACAAAGCCACCGGAAGATATGTTGACTTGTATACACTCAGTTTCGTTTTCCTCCACTCCACTGTATATCAGCAAATTATTCTCTAGTGCTAGTTGGCCTTTACCTTTCTTTTTGGTTTTAGTTAATGCTACAATACCGATTTTCGAGTGCTTGATCTCTTCTAATAACTCTTTCTCTGTACTATGTATACGTTCTATGTTGCCGTTTTTATTGTCTTTTCCTTTTTGATTTTCTTGTATATCTTGCCATCCTCATGTCCAATATTAGTGCCTATTTCGTCATATAATAATCCTTTCCTTTTTTTTATCCGTATCTACTTTTTGGAGATACTAACTTTGTGTTGATATAATTGCATATCTATCGCCTCGCCCGCAAGCGACCTCGGCAAAGTGAGAGTAAATTAAAGTGTTATGCACTTGGCTGTTTTCCAAGATATCAAATGAACAATATCATCTAACATAGATAGAATTGATAGTTCATACTAAGTTATGTTGATATAATTGCACATCTAGCGCCTCGCCCGCAAGCGACCTCGGCGAAATGAGAATAAATTAAAGTGTTAAGCACGTGGTTTATTTTAAAAGACATCAAATGAACAATACATTTAACATCGTCGAGGTCGCTTACAGGCGAGGGGATAGAATTAATAGTTTATATAGCTTTATGTATAATTGGATCTCCAGCGCCTCGCCCGCAAGCGACCTCGGCGAAGTGAGAATAAATGAAAGTGTTAAGCACTTGGTTTATTTTCCAAGATATCAAATAATCGATATCATCTAACATCTGTTAGATATGCAATTATATCAACATCAAGCTAATATAAACTATAAATCGAAGTGATAATAAATTAAAGTGTTTCATCTAACATCGCTGAGGTCGGTTGCGGATTAGGTGTTGGATATTGAATTATATTACTTAGTATAATAAGTAATTATAATTTAATATTTTTCATTTTAAGGTCGAAAATGTTCAAATGCTCGATAGATATTCAAAAACACCATCACAAGGAACACTTTACTTAACACCAACAAACGTTGTTTTTGTGGATCACGATGGTAAAAAAGAAACTTGGGTAAGATTAATCAAAAATGAATGAGAATTATTTTAATTTAAATTAATTTTTAGATTCTTTATACGCATATGGCAACAGTAGAAAAACTACCGTTAACAACAACCGGGTCGCCTCTTTTTATCCGTTGTAAAACATTTCTTTCCGTAACATTCGTAATTCCAAGGGAAAGAGATTGTCACGATATTTACACTTCGCTACAACTTCTCTCGCAGCCGACGAATATCGAAAAGTTGTACTGTTTTGAGTATAAATTTAGCCCACAAGAGCTGGTTGTAAGCGAAGGGTGGAGGTATTTTAATTTACAATCGGAATTTCAAAGAATGGGTCTTCCAAACGATCAGTGGTGTCTTACTACTTGCAATAAAGATTACGAACTTTGCGATACTTACCCTAAACATTTGGTTGTACCGATTATTGCTAACACAACCACTTTAATGGGGAGCTCTAAGTTTCGTTCGAAGGGTAGACTTCCAGTTTTAACTTATTTGCATCATAACAAAGCCAGTATTTGTCGATGTAGCCAACCTTTAAGCGGATTTAGCGCGAGATGCGTTGAAGACGAGAAATTATTGAATAATATTTTAAAAACTAATCCTAACGCTAATTATATGTATGTTGTTGATACAAGACCGAAGGTAAATTTTTTATTTAAAAAATCCTTAAGAATTAATATTTTTTTTAAAGATTAATGCAATGGCAAATAGAGCAACGGGAAAAGGTTACGAAAATGAGGCTAATTATGAAAACATTAAATTTCATTTTTTGGGTATTGAAAATATTCATGTGATGCGAAGTAGTATTGCAAAGATAATGGAAAGTGAGTATATATAAATTTTTTTTAACTCGTTTTTAATTTATAACAAATTTCTGAATTAGCTTGTGAACAAAAAAATCCAACAATGAATAGTTTTATTAGTGGAATAGAATCGAGTAGTTGGTTACGCCATGTAAAATCAATTTTGGACACTTCTTGGTTTATTGCTCAAGCTATAGAAGAAGGAATAAGCGTTGTCGTTCATTGTTCAGACGGATGGGATAGGACGGCACAAGTTTGCTCGTTAGCCTGTTTATTATTGGATCCTTATTACAGGACAATAGCCGGGTATCAAGCGTTGATTGAAAAGGATTGGTTGGCTTTTGGGCACAAATTTTCTGATCGTTGCGGGCACGTGCAAAGCGAAAGCAAGGAAATATCACCAATTTTCACTCAATTATTAGACGCAACCTGGCAATTGATGCAACAATTTCCTTTATCTTTTCAATTTAACGAAACATTTTTATTTACCCTTCACGATCACGTTCATTCGTCACAATTTGGAACTTTCATTGGAAATTGCGAAAAAGATAGATTAGATTTACGGTATAATATAAATTAAACAAAATCATTTTTAATATAAAATTTTTTTTTATAGTTTATCAGAAAGATCTTATTCTTTATGGGGATACATGGCTAAATATATGAATGAATATATTAACCCCTTATATGTTGCTGATGAAACACCTGGAACTATGAAACCAATTTTATGCCCACAAAATATTAAGTAAATAAAATATTTAGTTTAGAGATGGGCCAACTCGATTTATCAAACCGGGTTAACTCGATTTGATGTTATTTCAAGTCAATTATGCTTTGCGTGATCACCAGCCGCCGCGGCGCGCCGTCTTGCCCATCGAACCGGATTTTATTCGAGTTATAAGTCAGCGTACAGAAATACAAGGAAATTGAATATAGTGTATGTGTGTATATAGTGTTTTAGTGTACGTGATTGCTAGTGTATGTGATTAGCTGGAGAAGTAAAATGCAAAATATGTTCGGAAACTTTTCTGGAAACACAAGCATTAAAAAAAAAGACGACACACCCAAAAATGTGAACACACGAAGAAGACGGCAGATAGTATAGATGTGTTTTGGTGAACTACGACTTCTACGACTAAAAGTACGCAGTCCTCCAACTTGACATCTTCGTTAAGTCAAACTGAACATAACATTTAAAAATTGACTCAGATGTTGGAAGAAAAGTATAACATTGAGTCAACAACTCATAAGGAAAAATTGCAGGATGTTGAACATATTGCTTTGACATCATTTTATAGAAGAAACAAAATTGCAATTAATAGCTATTTCTAATTCAGAAATACGAGATAATCATACAGCTGAAAATATAGCAAATTAGTTCAACAATTATTGGACTAGTGGCAGATAAGTTCTAAAATAGTGACTATAGTTACAGACAATGCAGCTTCAATGCAAAAAGCGGTTAGCGAAACTTTAAGTAAGCAAAACCATTTCTGTGTAGCCCACACTATTAATCTTGCTGTGAAAAACTGTATAGAAAAAAAAATAGAATTAGTAACAAATAAATGCCATGAAGCATCAGAAGCAAATGAATTTGAATTAATCAAATTAAAGCAAGATGTTCCTACTAAAGCTCAAGGTTCCGCTTTCTGCTACTTTATCACCTCCACCGAATCTGGATTCTGAAGAGTGGTTATTTGGTGAAGACGTAATTGCTTTCTTAGATCCATTTGAAAAGGTGACTGCAATTCATCACTATCATCTGTTATACTTCTTATATTCGGTCTACGACATACCATAAATAGTAAATTATTAATATTATCACTTCCCATCCTGTTAGATTATGTAAACAAAAAACTTTGCCTTTCAGAAGGGTATCTTTTATTTTCGGCTCTACCGGTTTCGACTAATTCTTTTTAGTCATCTTCAGGAGCAATAGCCACGTCTGTTATACTTTTAATTTTCGAAATCTGGAATCATCTCTTCTTTCTTCAGTANAAGTAAGCAAAACCATTTCTGTGTAGCCCACACTATTAATCTTGCTGTGAAAAACTGTATAGAAAAAAAAATAGAATTAGTAACAAATAAATGCCATGCAGAAGCAAATGAATTTGAATTAATCAAATTAAAGCAAGATGTTCCTACTAAAGCTCAAGGTTCCGCTTTCTGCTACTTTATTACCTCCACCGAATCTGGATTCTGAAGAGTGGTTATTTGGTGAAGACGTAATTGCTTTCTTAGATCCATTTGAAAAGGTAACTGCAATTCATCACTATCATCTGTTATACTTCTTATATTCGGTCTATGACGTACCATAAATAGCAAAACTCCAATGACACAGACAAGCAAGCACTTACAAAGAACTCTTGATGTTATAATAGAGACGCTACTTGGGGTTTGTGAGATTAATAGAACAAGAGCAAAAGCTACTTTTTTGATCCGCAATATATAAAAAAGGCACTTAGTTCAGAAAGCAATGCTAATAATGCGCAAATGTGGATAATAAATGAACTAAACGACCAAACTTCTACATCTACGTTTTTTGGCGCTGCTTCTACTGTTACTATTGAAGATGATATTTGGGGTGTTATAGACCGAAAAATATCAGAAACAGAGAATACTTTAATTAATAATTGGTGATATTTCCACAAGGATCCGTCAAGAAATTAATTTTATAGCGAATTTTGAAAATTGCAACATCGAAAATTTTATCAAAACTTCAAATATTGTTTTCTCAAAAACTAAAAGTTATTTTTCAAAACGGGTTGGTTCATTGGANGCTACTTGGGGTTGATGAGATTAATAGAACAAGAGCAAAAGCTACTTTTTTGATCCGCAATATATAAAAAAGGCACTCAGTTCAGAAAGCAATGCTAATAATGCGCAAATGTGGATAATAAATGAACTAAACGACTACTTATCAACTGAAAGCTTGAACTCAACCGACCAAACTTCTATATCTACTGTTTTGGGCGCTGCTTCTACTTCTACTATTGAAGATGATATTTGGGGTGTTATAGACCGAAAAATAGCAGAAATAGAGGATACTTTAATTAATAATTGGTGATATTTCCACAAGGATCCTTCAAGAAATTAATTTTATAGCGAATTTTGAAAATTATGATGAAAATTGCAACATCGAAAATTTTATCAAAACTTCAAATATTGTTTTCTCAAAAACTAAAAGTTATTTTTCAAAAAGTGTTGGTTCATTGGAAAGAAGACACTTTTGTTATCACTTTGGGAAATTTTCATACTCATATTCCAAGAACTGGATTTTATACGAATTTTTAAAACTTAATCGGCGAAAATTGCAAAATTCGATTTTAGTTCTCAAGAACTAAAAGTGATTTTTCAAAACTGCTTTTTGCATTAAAAAGAGGATACTTTAATTAATAAGTGGTGACATTTCCACAAGGATCTTTCAAGAAATTAATTTTATAGCGAATTTTGAAAATTATCGATGAAAATTGCAATTCCTTTATTTTTTGACGGACATAATATCTTGTTCGATAAAAGGAGTTATTGGATCGTCTAGATAATTTATTGTAATGTTTTTTTTGTTTAAACATTCGTTTTAATGTAGAGGAGTACCACAAAGGATATTTAGTTTTTATGTGTTTTCCGTTGGTTTTTGGAACATGCGCATCCAAGACACTATATAATGTTGTATAAAAAACATCACAGGAGACTTCAACTGATGATAAAGACAGCAAGTAATTCCAATCAATATTCAACATTGCACTGTATAGGTCAGGCAAGTTAGCTCTTTTGAAGCAATACGTCTCGATATATGTCTTGAACCGTTGAAAACTGAGGTGCAGGCATATTTAGAGTTCCCAACAAAGGTGGAACAAATGATATTACTCACGTTGTTTAATTGTTCAAGATTATTAAAACTAAGAAAATTCCGAAGGATAGCAGCTCGTTCATCGTTTATGATAGCAAATGATGGAATATTAAAATCTCCCAGGATCAAAGTATCTAATGACATATCTAGTGATGAGTCAATGTGATCAAATATACGACCATACATTTCTCCAGGTGTGCTAGGCGGGATGTAGCAAACAACAACATTCATAACGTATTTTGACTTTTTAAATTCAACTCTTGCACCTACCAAATCAATTAATTCAACTGAGCAAGAGGTCACCACAACTTTTGAAACCGCCACCTCACATCTCAAAACATCGTATCTGTTGAGGAAAAGCTCACGATCAAGAACTGTTTCTTTGAGCCATCTCTCACTAAGCGCGATAATATCGAAATCTGAAGCATTAACTGATGTGAAAAAAATTTGATATTTAAACCACGAGTATCTGGTAGTATAGCGCATACTGTGTCGGTTGGGAGGCAGTTATTTTTTCTTTTGACAATTCGAGAATGTCCGTTAAGGAATTGTAAGCGCAAGTCCTTTTCACCATTCTCAATGCGAGACTTCAACTCGGTGCGCATTTTACGTTCAAACTCAATAATAATAGTAATGAATGTGATGATGAATTACAAGCGAAAAGACGATATTAGGTCACTATCCGGCCGGATTTTAAAAAATGGCCAGATACCGGATAGTTGCCAGATATCCGTTCCACCACTAGCAGAAACCATCGAGAAGTCCAACTCCACTACAACTTGTTCAGCAGGCACGATGGTAAAACTATATATTACCATACATAGACAGAAAACAAGCTAGCTAAAATAGCGCATAAATACCTCTGCATACCAGCGACTTTGGTGCCATCCAAAAGACTGTTTTCTAAAGCGGGTATTTTATGTAATGATTAAAGAAACCGACTAGCACCCAAAAAACTTAATCAAATACTGTTTCTCAATACTCTGTATAAAAAATTATTCTTGTAATTCAACTTTGAATTAGTGTAGATTCGTTAACATATATTTTTTTCTGAATTATAGTAAGTATTTATTTATTTTTAATAACATGTCCGACACTACCTAAAAAATACCATAATGTGAGTCAAAGAACACAATATTGACTTAGAATTTACAGATTTTAAATTTTTGCTACCAACTCAGTTTGGGTAACTCGGTTTGGCGAAAACCCGAGTTGGCCCATCGCTAATTTAGTTTTTAAGGCTTTCATGGCCGGAATCTTTCGGGTTAAGCCATCCAAAGTGTTTGATGTTTCGGCTGTTATGTTGTGTATGTAATTTCCACAAGTCAGACTTTTATTATAAGTCCGTAGNTAGCGAATTTTGAAAATTTCTCGACGGTCCTCACGCATATGTGTTTTACAGACAGACATATCTTGTTCGATAAAAGGAGTTATTGGTTCGTCTAGATAATTTGTGGTAATGCTTTTTTTGTTTAAGCATTCGTTTTAAGATAGAGGAGTACCACAAAGGATATTTAGTTTTTATGTGTTTTCCGTTGGTTTTTGGAACATACGCATCCAAGACACTATATAATGTTGTATAAATAACATCACAGTTGACTTCAACTGATGATAAAGACAGCAAGTAATTCCAATCAATATTCAACATTGCGCTGTATAGGTCAGGCAAGTTAGCTCTTTTGAAGCAATACCGGGCGTCTCGATATATATCTTGAACCGTTGAAGACTGAGGTGCAGGCATATTTAGAGTTCCCAACAAAGCTGGATGATAATTGTCTTCGCGAACCAGAGTAAAATCGGAGTGTATCACAAATGATATTACTCACGTTGTTTAATTGTTTAAGATTATTAAAACTAAGAAAGTACCGAAGGATAGCAGCTCGTTCATCGTTTATGATAGCAAATGATGGAATATTAAAATCTCCCAGGATCAAAGTATCTAATGACATATCCAGTGATGAGTCAATGTGATCAAATGTACGACCATACATTTGTCCAGGTGTGCCAGGCGGGATGTAGCAAACAAGTCATAACGTATTTTGACTTTTTAAATTCAACTCTTGCACCTACCAAATCAATTAATTCAACTGAGCAAGAGGTCCGCCACCTCACATTTAAAAACATTGTATCTGTTGGGGAAAAGCTCACGATCAAGAACTGTTTCTTTGAGCCACGTCTCACTAAGCGCGGTAATATCGAAATCTGAAGCATTAACTGATGTGAAAAAGTTTTGATATTTAAACCACGAGTATCTGGTAGTATAGCGCATACTGTGTCGGTTGGGAGGCAGTTAGTTTTTTCTTTTGACAATTTGAGGATGTCCGTTAAGGAATTGTAAGCGCAAGTCCTTTTCACCATTCTCAATACGAGACCTCAACTCGGTGCGCATTTTACGCTCAAACTCTAATAATAATAGTAATGCATGTGATGATGAATTACAAGAGAAGAGACGATATTAGGTAACTATCCGCCCGGATTTTAAAAAATGGCCGAATACCGGATAGTTGCCGGATATCCGTTCCACCACTAGCAGAAACCATCGAGATGTCCAACTCCACTACAACTTGTTCAGCAGGCACGATGATAAAACTATATATTACCATACATAGACAGAAAACAAGCTAGCTAAAATAGCTCTGCATACCAGCGACTTCGGTGCCATCCAAAAGACTGTTTTCTAAAGCGGGTATTTTATGTAATGATTAAAGAAACCGACTAGCACCCAAAAAACTTAATCAAATACTGTTTCTCAATACACTGTATAAAAAATTATTCTTGTAATTCAACTTTGAATTAGTGTAGATTCGTTAAAATATACTCTTTTCTGAATTATAGTAAGTATTTATTTATTTTTAATAACATGTCCGACACTACCTAAAAAATACCATAATGTGAGTCAAAGAACACAATATTGACTTAGAATTTACAGATTCTACATTTTTGCTACCAACTCAGTTTGGGTAACTCGGTTTGGCGAAAACCCGAGTTGGCCCATCGCTAATTTAGTTTTTAAGGCTTTCATGGCCGGAATCTTTCGGGTTAAGCCATCCAAAGTGTTTGATATTTCGGCTGTTATATTGTGTATGTAATTTCCACAAGTCAGACTTTTATTATAAGTCCGTAGGCATTCACAACCGGTGTTATTACGTCACAGACGCACGGCATAACCTCCGGAAGTTTCTAGTTTTAGTTTTATTTCAAGCTTTTGTACTTTTAACATTCAATCGTTAGAACAATCGTTATGTCCAATTTTTTACGTTCCAGTTGGCGAAACGCTGGAAAAATGCCTATATATGTCAAGCTTAACCCAAAAGTTTTTAGTTCTAGTTTTAATTGTCTGTAATTTCACAAAAAAAAAATATTTATTTTAGATTTTGGAGAGGAATGTATTGTAGATATGAAAACGGTGTTCATCCAAGAGAACCATTAGGAGACCTCCTCTTAGCAACATGTAACCACAGCCACGCTTTAGAAGATCATTTACAATATCTCAAAAAGAAAATATCAACGCTTAAAAATGTTTTATCAAGACCGTTTGAAAAAGAACGAAAACGTAACCAACCAATAAAATGGGATAATCGTAACTTAGTCGATAATAAATATCTATATGAAACAAGTATGCGTGAATTACAAGCGTCAGATGACAATCATCCCTTAAAAATTGATGAGGTTGTATCAAAAAAATCCCCGGATAACGATAATTTTGTTTCGTTTGGGGTTGAGGAAATCACGAAAGAGTTTGATTCGGTGGCTATCGATTGGAAAACTATAAGAAATGTGAGCGAATGTGGTTGTTCGACCCAATTTGATCATTTTAGGCGGAAATATCACTGTAGAAAATGCGGGGATGTTTTTTGTACGAGATGTAACGATAAACAAATTGTATTGCCAGGTTATTTTGGGCATAAACCCGTTCCGGTTTGTAGACCTTGTTATGATAATATTCAAGGAAATACTATAGAAGCAGTAGAATAAAAAAAAAAAATATTCTAAGTTTTACGGAATGTTTTTTTATAAGTTTTGGTATTTACACATTTACTTTAAATGTTATGGTAGTATTTATTTGTGGTTTATTTTTTCTATTATACAAAAAAGTAGTGTATTATTAAAGAAACATTCCTTTCTTATAGAGGCTGTTCTTAGAGAGAGTGATTAATTCCAGAAAATAGATAGAATTGATGCTGAGCTCAGAAACAAATTTATGAAATAAATTAATATTCAACATAACAGATTTTTTTTTTTCATTATGAAATATTCCTTATAAATTGTGTAATATAAAATGTAATATAAAACATAACCTCAATATCCCACGTTTTGTATATATATATATATATTATATTCGATAACGAAAAAGTTGAAAAAAGAAGTACTTATTATCAACTTACCGATAACTCTCAGTGATTCAATACACAATATAACAAGGTTAATCTTAAATCGTACGATTTTCATACAAGTTTTTCACGTTTTTATCAACACTGTCGTTTATATTTACCGCCTTATAAGTGAGTTAATTTGATTGCCTATAATCTTAATTTAAACTACTATTTTTTTATTTTAGACAAGAGCGAAATCTTTAATGAAGTTCATACAAACACCATTGTTGACTTATAATTTATGAAAAATAAAACCGTTCCTCAACTTTCCCCATTCAACCATAGGTGAAAATTTTACAAAATTTTAATTACTTTAATAATAATTTTAAACTTTCAATATTGCTCCAAATTTTATTCAAGATTTTAGTAACAATTATAAATTTCCATTTTATATAAATAGTAGTAATATAGAAGATTAGGTGAATAAAAAACTTTGTTTGTGAGATGGATAAATTTTATTTTCGGCTCAACCGATTTCAACTATTTTTAGTCATCTTCAGGAGCTTTAGCCACGTCAATTTTACTTTTAATTTTCAAAATCTGGATTCATCTTCTTATTTATAATCGTTTTCTTAAATTCTTTGTTGTTAATTATTGTCAAGAATGTCTCTAATTTTGTGTTGTACCTTCTTTTTTTGTTATTGACTACAACGGTTATTTTATTTTTATTTATAGGTTATATTCCATCTTGTGAATATAGCCGCGCATTTTAAATTCAAATAATGCCGTAAATTATTGTGGTACGGATAAAGGTTTTTTTAACAAAAACTACATCTTTTCTGTCATTATATGAAGGTTCGGCAATTGTGAAGGAATGTTTGGCATTTGAGTTAGGGTTTAAAATCTTTTAATTTTTGTTTAAAGGAGTTTGGAAAGGAAGGAAGAGGAGAAGAGAGGAATGGTTGCCATGGGACCCGGATAGTTGCGATTTTAAGCTGCAACCGTGGCTTTAAATCCTCCTTCTTCCGGGTGATTTCGGGGAGGGGTGTATGGTGTTTTCAAATAGGTGTATAATGGTCTTGTTGTTGTCGGGATATGGTCATTGAGACATATTATGTGTGGGTTATAAAACTTGAATTTGTTATCTTGTTTGTTACCTCGTAATTTTCGAGCGTTTCCATTACATTTCCCTTGTTTCTGTAATGTATTATGGATGCGTTCTTTATAATAAATGCTTATCGCTAACCCTTTCTCTAATGAGATGTCTGGTGGTGCGACATTCTTCCTTTATTTCTAGGAATTTAGCATAGATGATGCTCCATAACTCCTGTGGTGGGCGATTGTTTCTTTGCT